GTGGGCTAACATATATTCAGAAACAATCAGCATCGTTTTTAACAAATAGTCCTTGTTGAAAGCTACACAAAGGAATCTAACAATTTTCCATGACAAGTTATCTTAATCTGGACTAAGTTTTTAAAGCAGCAATAACATCAATCAAAGTTCCGTGCAGAACACAAGAATATCTCAGTGAATCTGCAACAATGAATAGTTATCACTCGATGGTCTTTGTTATCATATTGTTATCAATAACTTGTAAACTACACTTATTTGGTAACACTGCAGATAAAAAATTCAAAACCATGTATATGAACATTGTCAAATTCAAGAGGAATGTTAAAGTTTACTTAAGATAACTACATACATGGATTACAGGCAATAATAAAAAATATGCTTTTTGAATCTATTAACAAATACCACCACCAAACTTATAAAATGGACTGGGATATATATTGTGCACTACAGAAAACGTTGGATTAAGAGAATACTGATCATAATCATTTCGTAGTAATTCTATCAACTACAGAATACGATTCTCACAAAGAGAATGACATGTAAATCAAGCTCTAGCTTTAACTTACAGCTAAAAAGTGTCAAAAGCCAGGGACACATCAGCTAAAGTACAGTTAGCTTTACAAACATTCTTAGGAATATTGTATCACAGATTTTTTTTTCATCTTATTCTTGAAGAAGACATGCTTTTATTTTCCCATTCAAGCAATGATGTACACTTACAGAGCATGGATGCGGAATTTTGAGCAAAAATCTATCAATTACGGTGGAAGATTTTAGGCACACTGGGATGTGACACACAAAATCACATTAAGATTATAAATTCAAAGCATGATAATAGTGGATTTCGTAAGGGCATTAAACATGAAAGTAAACTCTCCCATATTAATATACAAACAACAATTGCATTAATGAATAAAAAATAAAATTGCCCTTACTAAAAGTGGGTTTAGTAATGGCATTATCTATTGAACATAATCTTTTCCAAGTAAATAAGTAAACACAATGGCTATTTTCCATAAAAGAAGGTGATCGGGTGATATACATAGCCAGCAATAAGTTCACCATTATGAGAAATGTTCACGTATATTTCTACTTAAGGTGAGCTACAAATAAGAGCACCCAAGTTTAAGGTAACTTGTGAATGAGAGCACTCAAGCAAAGGGTGAGTTGCAGGTGAGAGCACCTACCCCTAAGCTTATTTTACGCATATTTTCTTTGGTTTTCCAAAAGCCCATCACCACATGAGTCTTAAATGTGCATCCTCTATTAACTGGCACACACACAAGCATACGAAACGCCTTGGTTGACAATAGGTAAATAACAGATTATTGTGCTACAGCCCCTGTCAAATTTCCTGACTCTTAGTAAAGTGAATTTTAGAGGCTGATGTTTGTCGTTTTGTGTGCCATTAGTAATCCCCGTTCAAATGGGGGTTGCTACAGACAGGTTAAATATGAGGAATTAAGGCTGGATGCCCTTCTTAATGCCCTGCAGTGGACGTGTACGCAGTTAATAATCCAACTGAAAGCTCAGCATTAGTATTTACACTCCTCTTAGGATACGGGAACAGAAAGTTATTTAGCTTGTTTACAATAAAAGAAAACCAATAAATATCATGCCAACATATTTCTTAACTTAGATGTTTTCTTACTTAATTTACATACAAACATACACAGACAAGGGGTGTAATCTTCCTTTAAAAGGGAATGGTTGAGTGAAAGCAAACGCATCCACTAGAAGATAATATACTTCAATCACACATCTTAGCTCCTTGGGGATAAGGGGCTGCCACAATTCCCCCACACCACCCTGCTTGGGTCATCCACAGGGTAAGTGGGCTATTCCTCCATATATATAACAAATGTTCCAACAGCTAATGCATCTAGCAACAAGAATTATTCCACAAACATCTTCACAATATCTTGAAAGATGTAATACTTTATGCTAAATTATGAATCCATTTCACGAGAAGCACGTGAAAGTTGCAAATATGATTATTCTAACTACGAATGGAAAACGAGAGAAAAAGGAATATCTTAGCACTTACAACTATGTTTATCTACTCATATTCAGAGGGAACTGAATATGAGTTGATCAATATACTTGTAAGTACCAAGGTCTCCCGCTTATTCCTCCTTTCTCTTCATAGCCATAATAATCCATGTTTGATTTTGAGTCTCTAAATTTATGATAAAATCCCAAAATTTGCCCCAAAAATATCTGCATTGGTATGGGTATAATGATCTAAATCATTTTTATGACAATAAGTACCTGGCATTATTTAATATGTAAACCAAGGGGATAAAATAAAGCGAAGTACAATATAATAATCTGCTAACAAAAACCTTATAATACTAACATACTAGAGGAAACTACAAAAAAAGCAGTAAAGAGACTGTTTACTCCCAGTTTCATACAATGAACTCAAAAACATACAAAAACAGAGTCTGTACATAGAATTCAAGTGAAAAATCATATGAAGTAGCTCTGGTTAGGGTGAAAATAACTCCTACATAGTAGAGTCTTTCACTAGTCAAACTCTTCTGTAGTAAAACAATTTAACAGTTTTAATAACACTGTCACTTTGCTTTATGGAAGTAAGTTTTGTAATAAATTATGCAAAAGAGCTTGTCATCAATAATCAAATGGATTATAAAAAGCCTCCTGAGTTTTTACTTAATATTCCTCAATTTAGTAAAATTGCAGGATCTTGTCATGATGAGGAACCCTCAGAACCCCATGTGAAGCTAAATAACCCTGTAAATTGTTAGGTTAAATTAGGTTACTTTTCTTGTAAATATGAAAACCCCTAGAGCATCTGAGGTTATCCTTCTTCACAAGATCCACATTGTATTTCCATTATACAGGTAATAAAAAATACTTAAAGTTATGAAAATGATTCTAATATTAAACAGCACTTGCTGTTTTCAAAAATATAATTTATTTAATTCGAGTTCACAAAATTTTGTATTTCTTAAAAAAAGAAAAAACAACTTATTCTTGTTTTGCAAATGCACGGTACAAAATCACATGGAGCTAACCAGATACTGGCGCCATTTTTGCATGTGAATATATTCTCATATATACACAAGCTCACAATCAATATGCACATTAAGTAGAATGGGTCGACTCTTCGAGCTCATTTAGATGCTGACATTTTGGCGTGGCCCTTTGGTGCCATCCGTTTTGTAAAGATAGGTTAGATTAAGTTAGTTTAGGTTTTCAATATATAAAAATCGTAAGTTCAGAATGTCCGTCTCAATATGGATTGTCACCAAGATGGGTTCAGTGCCCAAACTGCCGGCATCAAAATGGCTGCTCCAAAATGTAAACCCCACATTAAGTGACACACACGTCTTTGTATGTACTCCAAATACAACGCTAGATACTTGAGTCTATGGTAAATACAAAGTCAACATTGCAAGCTTAAAGAACTCATAATACAGTATTTGTATACAGTCATCCCGCTCATGGGTCAAAATTCGCGAAAAATCAGGACCCTCTTAGATGTGTGTCTGTGCTTTGTATATAACCTATTCCCAACCTCATATGTATAGTAATGTACTTCAAAACATACCTAAATATACAATGGCCGCAATCTTCTTTGTAAGGGGCTTGGCAAAGTCAGAGCACACCCATTCGCTATAAGCCAAACATACTTCAATCAATCCATTTAGCTCCTTGGGGAAAAAGGGTTGTTACAGTCCTCCCGCACCATCCTCATTGGATCACCCAAAGGAAAAGTGAGAAAGGGGCTTCTGCCTTGAAGCCCGACACCCACATAGTATTACGAATGAATTGAACATGTATACTGTACATATTTATATTGATGAATATTTATATTTTTATTCATCAGAGAATATTCTCAAGGTTAGGTTTGATTAAAATGTAACCAAATTGCTAAGTCATTCTTTAACTATTCAAGTCACAATTAATTCATTAAAACAATTAAACCAAAGTTGTTCTTTATATGTTGTTGTTAGCCATTTCATGTGTTGCTATTAATCCCCAATATGGGGCTGGACACAGATTGGAACTGAGAAATTTAGGCTGGATGCCCTTCTCAACACCCATGGTGGGCTTGATCACGGTTCTGTCACCTCCCAAGTCGAGTGCTCTAACAACTGCACTACCACAGTCCCCCATTATAACTCTGTAATTTGAAATTTTAACATAGATGATAATGAAAAAGTTCATAGTATAACTTTGGCAAATAAGAATTTAAATTTACAATGAAGTTATCCATTATCTTTGGTATTTTCCCAACACAACAGCTTAGGTGAGAATAGTAATGGAAATGAAAAACACAAAATTAACTAATGTTCCACTGAGCTTAAGCCAGAAAATAGGTAAAACACTGCCTGAATCAGAACTCAAAGGATATGATTTTTATAATTTACATCATGGCTGGGAAGAGCCAATACAATGCACAGAAAAGAAAAATATGAGCACTATTTATCAGTATTCCAATATTTCACCCAATTACGTTGAGTATGACTAAACAGGGAAGAGATAAGTTTACAGCTTTACGAGGATCATGCGCAACGCTATGTACATCATCTAATTAACGACTAACACTTGCAGGAATTACATGATCAGAGCATTTACGATGGCCTTATCATGAGTGAACTACATATCATACAGATTAAATTCTGAAAAAACTCTGAGTACAAAACCTCTCACCACATGGGAAACTTATGGAAATATTTCTTACTTATGATTCAACAGACAGAAAGATTGCTGAAGAAAATAATTTTAATTTCTACAGTCAGTAATTTCGTTGGACAGAGACTTTTTGTACCAGGCAAGTTCAGCAAACTCTATACTTTTTTGACTGCCACAATTTTATATTTACCGAGCTTGTTGGACGTATGGCAATGGCCCTGAAGCGGTACCATCTCGAACTGCGACCCACAACAATCGCCTGAATACCAGGTGCCTAATAATACTGCTAGGTGAACAGAGGAAATTGAGAGAATAGAAAGCAGCCCAAGAGTTATTTCCTTAATCAGGAATTGAATCTGAGATCTTTTAGTTGTGAGTCAAGTGTGCTACCCATTACACCACGAGGAGCCTCTGCCAAACAATGGGGGGTATGGATATAATCGGACTTTGACCCTAACTTCGTAATGGAACCAGAATATCCCAACTAACAAGTCAATTTCCATTTACACAACAGAATTACAACTACAATTCACATATAAAGAATGACTACAAACAAGCAAAAGTCACATTAAAGTAGGTAAACTGGCCAATGTAAAAAACTCTGTCATTATTCCATTTTATTCACAACCTGGAGTGAGTTGGACTTAAAAAAATTAATCAGTACACACCAACAACAAGGCATTCACAGTAAAAAATCTATGCAGTAAGATTATCTTGATATTATAAAAATTTCATATATGCCTTTTCTTTAATATCTGAATCATTAATAATAACCGGGGCTGTTTTCTTTTAGCATATCAAGGTTTATTTCCTTATTCCACACGATGATGCAGTGTCCGGCTTGGGGCAATGAGGCGATACTGATTGGGCTCTGACATTTTGGTGTCATCTGTTTTGTAAAGACAGAGTTTAGGTTGGGTTTGATTTTCAAAATATAAAAAAATCTTTGCGCCAAAATGGATTTAATGCCCAAACAGCCATTGCCAAAATGGCTGCGCCAAAATGTACCAATCCTTGCAGTGTCTATTACGAGAGATTGATAAATATACCCAATTTGGGTAAAGTATTAAATTAATACACCCTGCATAGAGCAAAAGTTTTCGTAACTTTATGTACACTTGTCCAACTGATTCTCTGAGGCAATTTCTGTTACTTAAAAGACAAGCACTGTGGAACTTCAGTTTTTGAAAGCCTTAGCTATTAAATAATTTGGCTGCCAAATTTCTTTTGGGATCAAAAAATTCTTTGCTTATCAAACTTTATTTTGGAACTTGAACTGCAAGTCACATTGTGAATTGGCCACAAAACCACAAGGAAGATGGAGAGGGTCTCAATTACATTGATACCTATAGGAAAAATGGATTTGCTCTTCAATCGCTGTGGTTTTTGAAGCATCTTCAAGAAAAAATAAAGGTCAGAAATCGAGGTTCCACTGTATTTAAACTAATATCATAATAAACTAATATATCTCTTAAGATGAAATTTCTCAAAAACCAAACTTTACCATAACCTCAATAAACCCATAAGCTCTTGGCAGATATCAGGAAAATAATATTTACAAATGTAGCAAATGAAAAACTAACAAGTTTTTTGACAAATGTATACCCAGTATACCAAATCTTCTGCATAATAATCTACAGCAATTGGTGTGCGTGAATTCATAGTTAATTATGAATTAATTATGAATAATTAGCATGGAAATTCCTTACATAAACAGCAATCTTACACTACAGATGTTTAGGGTCTTATTCTATTTTGTTCCCATAGTTTAAAATACATATGGATCTGTAACAAATGGACTACTCAATTCGTTTCAAATCTAAAACTGAAAGCTTTCAACAGCGAGAGACAATATTGGACAAATGGATGAAATTGTATTCTAAATGGGAGACAACACGGTAATATCACTCTAACTGGAGACAAACAGGTGAAATCACTTTAATTGGGAGACAATAAAGGTAAAATTGCTTTAACTGAGAGACAGTATGGGTGAAATCACTTTGACTGGGAGACAATATGTGTGAAATCACTTTAAGTGGGAGACAATACTGATAATATCATCATTACAGTGTATTAAACAGCCCCACATTTTCCCTTAGGGTGAGAAAAACAGGGATCTATGTTTAGGGTCCCGTCATCGAATACATAAATAATACTGTACAGTATCAGTAAATTTTGTATACAAACATTTACCCTGGTCAGTAGAAACCTTACATTCTCACATGCAACTTAAAGCTCTTACTGACAGCATTCATGAAAGAACAAAAGATATATATAAATATATATTATATAAATATATATATATATAATAATAATATATATATATATTATAAATAATATATATATATATAATAATATAATA